TTTCCTTATACCCCCCCCCCCTTTAGAGTATGGCTTCATGAATGAGGCATACTATTGATTTGACTGACTTGTCTTATATATAATATATTAAACTTTTAATCATATATAGTATAAGGTGTATTTTAAATCTTTCCAAAATACGAGGTTTAAATATTAATTATGTAAATTATCATATAATCAATTAATCATATTAAACATATAATTATCTTTTAATTACATTACAATTAAATTAATTATTAAATTCATAAGGGATAATTCAGTTTAATATAACTAATTAAAAATTATCAAATAAAAATATCTCCTAATATCTAGGGTTTTATAGATTATCACACAAGACATTTAAAATTCGGAATCTAATAGAATTAATACTGGATGATTATCAAAAATAACACCATAAATCAGATTAGGAAGATAATTACCGAAAATCTGAAAAATCGTATCTCACGTTGTGACAGATGCGCTGTCACATCTTAATATCAGTATTTTTTTTTGCAAAAAATAGGTTTAGTTCGATTTGACTCATGTGCAATCAATGTTTCACAAGCATAAGCTCTGATACCACTGATGGGTTTATAGGAAACAAAAATTTTAAAATGTTGAAAACAAATAAAAAAATTAGTACATGCATCCTATAAAAGATCTATGTCAATCACCTTGATAGCAACATACAATGAACAACTAAACCTAGCATAACCCCGAGTGAAATTCGAAATTACCAAGTATAGAGTTACATACCTTTTGATTTGTTGTAGCAAACAAATCACTTCAATCTCCTTGTAGTGCAGGTCTTGGAAAGGCTAGCACCAAAAGGATGATGCCTCTAATGACTCACACTCAAACCCTTGAACTAGAAGACAAGAGGAGAGATGAGAGATGAGATTTTCGGCCAAGGTATCCTTGTGGGAAGAGTATGAACTAATTTTAGGTTCCAAGGGGTCCTATTTATAGTTTAGATAACTTAAGGACAAAGCAAGATTTGAATACAAGTCAAATCATTTCCTTATTATCATTTAGGAGGCTTCTGGAAACCCTGCAAAGTCTCCCAAAACCGTCCACATTGATGGTAGGTTCTAGCATTGCATTTCCTTGCTTAACTATGAACAATTACAATTCATCCCTTGCACCTTTAATTAATTCCAATTATTCCCAAATTAATTTTAGATTAATTTTGATTTATAGTTAAATAATTCTATTTGATTTCTTATTAATTTATTAACCTTATATATTAATAAATCAATTGTCTATTTCCAATTAATATATTAATCATAATATATTAACAAATCATTTATTACAATTTATTAATCATATAATAAACTAATAAATGTACATCCATTCTCTCTTTAAATATCATTCTAGCTGAGTTCTAGTTATGATGGCAACCCAAAAAGGACTTTACTTTTAACTACAAGAATATACCAATTTAGTTATTGGTTTAGAAACCTTAATCAAATAGTATTGATTTAAGATTGTCAAGAAATGATTGTAGATTGTCCATAGGGATTGGACATTGCATAGGGATTGCTGCAATATTCATGAGTACTTAGAAAATAGTGATTTTAAGTATTCCTTAAACTCGCTCTTAGAGATTACTTCATGGATTCAATCACGAGTAACTCTAAGATGATAATATGTTATATTCTTCAAATGGAGATATATAAGTCATGTTTTGCAAATTAGTTGTGCATTGGTTTACTCCAACACATCTCATAACTAGGTGTTATAAAGTGTAATTTCATGCATAATTTGGTGAGTAAAATGTATGATTATATAGTGAAAGTTTATTCTTTGCTTTTGCCTTAATAGGAAAATCGATATCTCTAGGGCCCTCGATGACTTGTTGCCGACATCTGAAGTGTTTGACCAAGCCCGGACTAAATTGATGTGTTCAATTAGTAGTCTGAATTCAATCATTATAAATCGGGAAATAGAATCTTGGACTATGAGATTGATACTAATTCATGTCTCATGTTCATACGATGTCTTTTAGAATGAAGGGATAACTAATCACTTATCTTAGGACCAACATCTAATCAGAGTTTGTTAGTTTCTTTGGAAAACACTCTTTACTGGTTATTCGGAGTTGTACTTGTAACTATAGTTAGCGTCTTATCTAAGTGGGAGACTATTGGATTTAAATATCTAAGGTCCTAACTAAATTGGTATATTGTTGATAAATAAAAGTAAAGTCCTTTTTGGGTTGCCCTCATAACCGAGAAATGACTTGGAATGATCAAATAAGATAGATAAATGATTTGTTAATATATCATATGATTAATATATTAACTAGAAATAGTTAATATATAATATGAATTAATTAAAAATAGTCAGAATTGATTAATTATTAATCAAAACTAATCTGGAATTAATTCGAGATTAATTGGAATTAATTAAGGTGGAATGGGTGAATTGTAATTGTTCAATAGTTGAACAAAAGAAGCAATTCTAGAACCATCCATGATATGGACAGTTTTTGAGGATATTCTAGGGTTTCTGGAAGCCTCCTGATAGCAGATAAGGACAAGATTTAAATTAGGATTAAATCTATTATATAATTATTCAAATCTAGATTCATCTACAAGTTACCTAAACTATAAATATGTCCCTTGGGGCACTTCATTTCATGGATTTCTCATACCTAAAAGTGGAGAACGAAATTCTCCTCCTCCTCTTCCCTCTCTCCTTCAATCCTAGGGTTTCTTGAGTTTTAGGTGTAAACCATTAGAGGCCCACATACTATTGGAGGTAGGTTTTCTAAGGAAATAAGAAGATCTTGATTAGCTTGATTGGAATCAACAAAAGGTATGTATTCTTAACCATAAATTTCGATTCATAGGGTTTTAATTTGTGTTTTTGTAAGTATGTTACTATTAGATGTGAAAAAGACATAGATCCATTTTAGGTTGCATGTACCCTTAAGAGTTAAGAGAATTTCCGCATGTACAATAATTTTGTAACGTAAAATTCTCATCATTTTTCATGATAGCAATGACTTATTACTTCTCCAAACGGATAGAAGTTGAGGCTTTTCATCAAGTTAGAGAAAAGGAAGTAATATCCTTCATCAAGCACAACATCTTGACCAGATTTGGTGTCCCATATGAAAATATATGTGATAATGGATCTCAATTTATAGTAAAAAGAAAACAAAACATTTGTGCAAGCTAGGGTATCAAGATGATCACTTCTACGTCTGTTCATCCTTAAGATAATGGTCAAACTGAGTCGAGTAACAAGATCATTCTCAATAACCTAAAGAAAAGACTCATAGAAAGAAGAATAACATTTAGTTCTTTGGGAAGATAGGACCACATGCAAGAATTATACAGAGCAAATACCATATTCTTTGGTATTTGAAAATGAGGCTGTGATTACCCCAGAAATCATGATCCTTACAGCCAAGACAAAATTCTACACTCAAGAAGAAAATGACAAGATCCTAGCTGAAGATCTTGACGTAATGGATGAATGCATGGATCTTGCCAAGAGAAGGATATCAGCCACCCAACAAAGGATTTCCAAATCCTACACTAAATATATTAGAATCAGAAGATTTCAGGTAGGAGATACTGTCCTTAGAAAAGTTTTCAAAAATACAGTGGGACTTAGTGTAGAAAAAATTGCCCCAAAATAGGAAGGTCCGTACCTTATAGACTCAGAAGCTACAAAGGGCGCAACTGGTTATCCACCCTAAATGGTCAAGTATTACCAAGATGGTCGAGTATTACCAAGATCGTGGAATGTTATACATCTTAAAATTTATTTTTCATCGACCCAAGATCTTGGCCAAAGATACTCAGATATGTTTTTTCCCGATTTTAGTTATCCTTATATATTTTCATTATTGATACTGACTTAAGCATCAGAGGGGTGTTAGTTAAGCTAACACCCACCCTTTACCCAAGATCTTTTTTTGCAGAAACCGGAAGTTCTTGACCAAAATATTAGGGACTAATCACCCCTCCTATGATCTAAGGTACCAAGATACCTTCTAAGGTTTAAAGATTAACATCTTTCTATGACATCAGGTTTAAAAACCTCGCTTGGACGCTCACATTCTAGCTATAGTAAAAGATATGAGGATCAAATTACGCTTTAGTAACGGACAACCTCCATCTTACTAACTATAATTTAGAACTTAAGAAAAAAAATCAATGGAATGACACTAGCATGTCATACAGCCGGGAACTTATACCCACACATTTAACATTCACATGTTAAAGAAAGACATAAGGGAACAACCTAATGATGGGAATATCCCAAGGATCCTACATTTTCATGTTGAATTTAGGTTTGAACCTAATCATGTTCACAAAGCAAAGAATTATAAAAATCCAAAGTATCTCAAAACTAAGATGCAAAGATATTGAATCAAAACAAAAGATTTTTAAAACAGCATGGGCATCCCAAGATATCATCCAAGTTAACTCTCACTCAGAGATGTCATACAAAAATAAATCTCTCTCAAAAGATCACATAAGGTACACAATCATCTATCTATTCATTTTTAAGTTTTAAGCATACTTTTCTACGTCCTTAATAAAAATATATTTTGAAAAATATTTGTAATTTCTCTATTCATTTCTAACTTTTAAGAATACTTTTCTACGTCCTTAAGAAAAGTTATCTCTGAAAAATATTTAAAATTTATGACTATCCATCAAAGATTACTTATTAGAATTTTGTTAAAACGAAATCCATTTATTTTAAATTTTCTTTTCGAAGTTTTTCTTTGAAAAATAGTTTCTATTATTAAATCATGGAACTAAGAAATTATTTTCAACCATTCATAACATTCAAAAGAAGAGTGTCATACTTCCATGAGCATACAAAACCTAGTTCAAACCATTACATACCAAATAATGTCTTGTTCAAACAACCCAACAACAACAAATCCAAAAAATTCAAGGAGCATGTCCTCACCTTTTTTCGGGCCTTCAAAATCTTGACCCTCAACATTTTCTCTTCCTATTCCCTCATCAACCTTCTCACCAACCACTCTTTTACCTCTCAAGTTTTTTAATGGCTACTCCCACTTGGTCTTGTTTGGCCCAAGAATCGATCTTATTATCTTGAACATCCTCCACCATCTTCAATCTGGCCTCCAAAACAAACATATTTGTAGATTTATTTGTTTTATTCTCAATATCGTTCATCTGTTTCTTCAATTCATCTCTCTCCTCCATCGCCCTTTCCAGTTCTTCCTTCCTAGTAGCATCCTTAGTTGTCAACTCCTTCAACTTCAATGCAAACTCTTTACCCTTTTTCTTCAACTCTTGATCATACTGATTCTTCATAAACTCCAAATCCCTCTTCGATTCTTTTGTACCCTTCAAAATTAGGGTAGTAGCCTACGCCCAAATACCAATGTAAATAAAAGATTACTAAAGATTCAGACGGAAAGGGAAGAAATAGAGACTTACAGATTGAACCAAAATAATCATCTTCAGCTTAATCTCGAAAGGACTCAACCCCTCAAATGCTTCTTGGCCCATCTAAAAAGTAACCTTCATTTTCTTAGATTCAAAATTTTTTAGCTTGGTCTCCATCTTCCTTGCACCTGAACCGGAAGGCTTCTCAACTCTGACAATAGGATCCGAAGATCGGAAATCATCAACATTGAAAGAAGAGCTAAGGAGGACACCTGATCGAGTCAATCTTGGACCTAAATGAAAAGAATCATATCTAGGGCCGGCCCAAACATTTTTGGTGCCCTGGGAAAAATTAAAATAAATGCCCCCTCAAAATATCAAAATATCGTATGAATTTTAAATTTGATCTATTTTTTATATAAGGTTTTTCTTAAGATAAGATTTGAGGTTTTTAATTTTGATTTACTAAATAGATTATAAAATTATGTCTTTCTATAAAAAAACACAATTATATATAAACAACTTCCAACAAATTCAACTTAAACATTCTTATATTTTTTTTTATTAGTGCTTGAACCTTGATCACTTTTATAAGACACAAAATGTCAAGAACTAAATGATATTTGTTGTGTTTCTTTTATATATATATATATATATATATATATATATATATATATATATATATATATATTACTAACAAGCTTAAAACTAGCCCCAACCAAATACGGGTCTTCACCCAACTTCCCCCCCCCCCCCCCTATCGGGTGGGGCCTGGTCCTATCAACCCACACGAAGATCATCAAGTTAAAGAAGAAATATTAACAGGACTGATGACTTTTCTTCATGAATTGCCTTCACAAATTTAACCAAAAACCCTTGTAGATTTAAAAAGAACCTCCAAATCTATTTGAACAAGAGGCTTTATTAAGAGCAAACAAACTACCTATACCCAAACCACCGTTTATTTATAAGCAAGAACTTTTTGCCATCTAATACATGCCATCTTTCTTTCATCCAAATCAGCTCCTAAGAAGAATTTTACGCACAACTTCAATCTCATTCAAGATACCCATAAGAGCTTTATATAAAGGCATGAAAAAGTAGGAAGAGAACCCATTAAATTCATCAACTACCAATCGATAAGGTTTTAAGTTTCCATTTAGAAAGTCTAGACACCACTTTCAAAACTGTATCCTTCCAAACCAACAACTGATTCATATTCCCAATAAAGCATGATAAGGAAAAGGGATCTTCATCGAAGAACAACCAATATGATTCGCCTAAAAAGGAAACATGATCAATAGGAACTCTAATACCAACCAACTTACTTTTGTTGAGATTGATTCTTAACCCCGAAGCTAAATAAAAAACAATGTATCACTCGACAATGTTTCTAACATTAGACTCCTTCCACTCTCCCACAAAATAGCATTATCAACATATAAAAGATGTGAAAGACATAAATGAGAACGCATATCAAATGCAATACCAATAAATAATCCACGATCTACTATTCTCTGAAACACCACATGCAAGTTTTCCATGATCAAGATGACAATGAAAGGAGAAAGTCGCCCTCCTAACGCATGTCTCTAAAGAATTGAAATTCTTCGGTAGCAGAAACATTAACAAGAATAGAACCCCTAGCACAATGTAAGCACACCTGAATCCAAGCTGTCCACTTAGAACCAAACTCCATCTTATGCAACACATCATCCAGAAAATCCCATCTGTCTCGAATAGAATTTTAACTATACTAAAATACTGATGACACTAAAATCATTAATAGATTCTTATCTTTTTCAGGAAATTTCTCATATATTCTTAATTCTTGGATTTTAATATGGTTTGTACTTCGTCATCAATAAACATAAGAGCAATATTTTGTTTATAGTACACCATTGTTGATTATTCCCTACGATGATCACATTTGATAGGTCATTCTACACACTTATAATATTTTATCAAATTAGTGTCCAATTTTAAGTTGTAATTATATACTCAATATTGTTTTTTAAACTAATTAAAACTTTTGAATCACGTACTCACGTGTTAGCACATTAGTAGTAATTCATTGACAATTAACAAAAATGTAATTTAAACTCAAGACCTGCATGTTCGTTTATTCATTGATATAACACAAGAAACTACATTTAATGTGATTTTTTTTTTTTTTTTTTTTTTTTTTTGCCAAGAGTCATACTCAGTCATCTAGTCATCTCTAATAATTCAATAAAATCTCAAACATGATATTCATAATCACCCAATGTCCTTCTAACATTATACTACATAGTCTTGGGAAATCTTCAGAAAAGTCCCAATATTTTCGGAAAAGTTACACTTTAGTCCCAAGATTTTTTCTTGAACGAAAAAGTCCTGAAAACCGGCAAAAATTTGCAGTTTGACCCTTTTTGACCGGTTGAAACCGGTACCAAATTAATTTGGGACTATTTCGTAAACTAACCCAAAATATTTGGACTTTTCTGTAAACAAAAAATATTAGGATTTTTCTGTAAACAAAAATATTATGACTTTTCTACAAACAAAACTCTTATTATTATTATTATTATTATTATTATTATTATTAAAAATATAATTAATAATACTATTTTGTGAACTTGTTATTATTAATATTGTTACTAATACACATAAGTACATTTAAATAAAAAAAATATTAATACCATTGTTTAAGTGTGGAGGTGGAGGAGATGATGATGCTTTTAGCATTGAAATCGTGAATGTGTTGTATATTTTTACTTGGATATGGTCATTTCACATTTGTTATTATTGTTTTCAATTCAGAATATTAATACTTAACAATTTATAAGATGTTGCATATTTGTAAAATTGTTTATAAATAGTTTAAGGTAGAAGGGTTTTTCACTTTGTATATAAAATTGTTTAAGGTAGAAGAATTACTTTCTAAATCCAACAAATCCACTACAAACATCTACATAGGTAACCCATATCAAAATTCAAAAGTATTAATTACAATATCTTGTTTAATAAAAAGTAATAGGAATAAATCAAAAGTATTAATCAAAATTCAAAAGTATTAATCCAAAAAACATATCTTTTTAATTTTTATCAAGCAAGATATTATAATTAATATTTTTGAGATGTTTGTAGTGGATCTGTTGGATTTGGAAAGTAATCATTCTACCTTAAACATTTTTATATACAAAGTGAAAAATCATTCTACCTTAAACTATTTATAAACAATTTTACAAATATGCAACTTCTTTTAAATTGTTAAGTATTAATATTGTGAATTGAAAACAATAATAACAAAAGTGAAATGATCATATACAAAGTAAAAATATACAAGTAAACATTCATGATTTCAATGCTAAAAGCATCACCATCTCCTCCACCTCCACCCTTAAATAATGTCATTAATATTTTTTTTTCATTTAAATGCATTTATATGTATTAGTAACAATATTAATAATAATAAGTTCAAAAAATAGAATTCTTATTTATATTTGTAATAATAATAATAATAATAATAATAAGAGTTTTGTTTGTAGAAAAGTCCTAATATTTTTGTTTACAGAAAAATCATAATATTTTTTGTTTACAGAAAAGTCCTAATATTTTGGGTTAGTTTACGAAATAGTCCCAAATTAATTTGGTACCGGTTTCAACCGGTCAAAAAGGGTCAAACTGCAAATTTTTGCCTGTTTTCAGGATTTTTTTCGTTAAAAAAAAAAATCTTAGGACTAAAGTGTAACTTTTCCGAAAATATTTGGACTTTTCTGAAGATTTCCCCATAGTCTTTTATACTAACTTTTATTTATTTACCTTTTAGAAAGAAAGAAAAATAAAAGAATAAAGAATCCAATAGTTGAGGGATGATTGAAAATGAGCATATGGATGAGAAGGTTCATGCATGTTCACCGATTGCGAATCATGTGCCTAGTTTGATACTTCGATTTGAAGTGAATTAAAGAAGATCGAGAGTAAAGAAGGGTCACGTGGCACCCATGTGAAGTGAAGTGAAGTAATAGGGACCAAGGCCCATTCCATCTAAAGATCCTTTCTTTAGTATTGTCAACATCTTTCTTTTATTTCATCAAAGCCCATCTTGCATTTATTGCCTTGGTCTCCCCTATTGGCTTATATCTTTAGAAAACAACTAGTTATGGCATTAAAGACCTTAATTTCGACATTGGCTTGTCTAACTTAATATAAACGGATAGGCTTAATGGGTTAAGTGATAGGAGAACGACTTCATCTTCATCTATTAATATGCATATGCTAATCCATAAAAAGACAATCAACATATGTTTGAACATTAATGTAGTCATTTACATGAGAAATAATGAGTGTCATTGTCTCACCATGTTTAATCCTTTTAAGTCATAGAAAGTTATAATATTATCTCATTAAAATCGGTCTCGATCCGAATTAAATATACAAGCACAATACAAATCACTATCTTACCTTATTCTTCCTATTTTCTGTTAGCCAAGAATGTAATCCATTACAAATATTATCCATATAAATAAAAGGAAAAGGAACTCACTTTAGGACCAAGAAAAAGCAATAATTAGATGCCCATCCAGCAAAAGGGGAATAACAAAACTAAGCAACATGTATTTAATTAGCCAACACTTAGAATCCTCAATCATCACAAATATTTTTAATCTACTTCTTAAATTAAAAAGAAAACAAACAAAAATAAAAGTAAACAATCCACGACACATCACATGTAGGGGAAAATAATTTGTGCTCCCCATCTATAATACAAAAATATTAATACCCAAAAAAAAAAAAAAAAAAAAAAAAAAAAAAAAAAAAAAAAAACTCGTTTACTTCCGAGTTGACTCATGATTATCGAGTCCACTCGAGTCAATGTTTTGGTGGTGGTAGCGCTGCTGGTTTACACTGATAACACTTGGCAAACAGACCGAATGTGTCGACCTGGCGCACAAAGTTTGTTACGCTCGCCCATCCACCGAATCCAAACCCAACCACTAAAACCCAGACGATCACAAAGGCATTGATCACATACATTGCGGTCCAGCTCGGTAGGAAACTCGGTGGCTTCTCAGCCGCATTCTGTAAAAAATAAAACTGTCTATTATAGCATTGTACTTTCAATCAAATCAAAGTATAAAAAATTGTTTTTTGATAAGACATTTTATCTTTAGAAAATCTATCTAAAATTTTTTTTATATAGATAAAATAGAAAATATGTTTTTTTTTTTTTAATTTACCTGTCGGGCAGATGCTTTTCTGTAGGTGAGCATATGGGCAAGGGCAGGGATGATGTAGACCGTGAAGCTGACCAAAAGTGCCCCAACTGCTGAATTGATGGGTCCAAAGAAAGGAAAGATGATAGCCAAAAACCATATGGGTATAACTACGGGCAGCCTCGCTACTGCCCGTAAACATATGCTCTTTGTGTCATGCATCCCTATTACCTTCTCCCATACAAAATACAACGGCGTACATGCGAAACCAAATGTAATAAACTGTCGAATAAAACCCAATAAAAAATGTAAGCATGATGCATTACATGGTTGTACAGTAGAACTGGGTAAGGGGTAGAATGGTAATTTTACCTGATGAATGAGCATGAGAATGACGGCAGCATCACGCCACCGGGTTTTGGGAAGAACGGAGAAGGCGTTGGAGTGGTTGAGAAGCTCGTCGCCGAAGGCCCAGTAGACGGCGGCGGATGACGGAAGGGTTAGTGTGAAAACGTAAAGAGTGGCAAGAAGGTAAATATACTTGAACTTTTGGGGTTTCCACATCGCGTGCATAATTTCACTATAAATAATAAATAAATAATTAATAATGAATAAATATATAATAAGGTCAGAATTATAATTTGTTATTAAGATTTTTGTTTTTTTTAAACTACAAAAACAAAATATTCATTGTAAAGTGTTTTTAAGGTTCAAAAACCCGGACAACCTGGCGAAAGCTGCGTATAGAAGAAGAATAAAAGGTGCTTTTACACCCATTTTTCCAAAAAAGAAAAAGTTCGATTACCATTAAATTTAATATTCTATTAACAACTAAATATTTTTCAAAAATATTCCTTACAAGGCAAAAATTAATAGGATAACATAAAGTTCTTTTAAGTTTAATTTAAAAGCTTCGGGAATATAAAAATAATAACTTTCTACAAATATTCTTTACAAAATACAAACATTTTTCAATAAAGTCGAGATGTACATCATGCATTGAAGTTTGTAAGTTGGTTAGTGTAAAAAAATAAAAACTTACACAGTGACAGCATGTCCGCCGAAGGTGTACAGAATATTAGTGGCTCCGGTGAAATACAACACCAGCTTCTGAGGAGCAGAATGTTCAACCCCATCAACCTGCAACTCCCATGAAAGAGACGACAAATCAGAACAATAATTCTTCAAAAACTTGTACATTGTGCATTTTAATTTGTACATCGATCTCGATTTGGCTTTTTATTCTTTCCAATGTGTACACAACAACCGAGTTTCTCAAATCCCTACACTGACTTTATTTCATCTTTCCAAATATAGAATCCACTAAAAGGAAAGAACTTTCAAGTTGTACATTACGCATTGGAGATTGTGTATTAAGGAGTTTTAGAGAGAGAAAGAGAACCTGGCCATGGATTAAAGCTGCAATCGCCATATACCACGCAGTGTAAGTGGTCATTCCAAGGCCCAGAAATGACCAGATTCTGTAGTTATGGAATGAAGGAATGAAGACAGTGGTTGCACAGCAAGCTCCAAAAATATATGTCCATGTCCTCTTGTCCAGATGATCATTTATGTAGTATATGTTGCTGTTATTTTGTAGAAACAAAAAAAAATCGATATCACTCCAAATTTTCGTTGATCAAAACCATCGAAAAAAACAAGATCACAATGAACACATACCTTGCACAAGCTATAAGTTGAATTACAGAGCCAAAGAGAAGAAAAGTGCAGTTGAAAGCTAGACCAATTGCTTTCCAATAAGGCCCAAGCAATCCATCTAGAACTTCAAACCACTACAAATTTAAAAACGATTGTGTGAGATTGTTAATATTGTAATGAAATTTTGGAAAAGTTGATGAATCGAAGAAGTATACCTGAATAACATGGTTTTTGAAATTGACATTTTCCTTCTCTTTTCTAGCTCTGTATTCAACGTAAAGGACACTGATAAGGTACGCAGTCCAGCTTCCTAGAAGACCATAGAAGATTTGAAGAACAATCCCTGATACCATTCCTAATTGAGAAAACGAGTATGGAAGGGTTAATAGCACTTGTGCCACCTGCATAAACACATGTACGTTCAGGGTTCAATTATTCGGTTTGAAGTGAAGAAGGAATCTAATCATCGAGTTGGATTGTTGTATGCTTTACTTGATTTGACGAACAACTAAACCAAGCATCCCAAACAGAGCCTCCATGCCATAGTATATTTTTCATACTGAAAACAGAGTGATCTTCGAATTCTCCATGTCCTTCTTTCCCGCCTCTTTCTCCATTTTCAGTCTCGCTGTAATTCGACGGAACTATTGACTCCTCAGCTTGCTTTTCACCCAACATTTCTTCGATTATCTAGTCAAATCATCGAGGCAGATCTAGAATCAGAAACAGAAAACTCCAGATCCAAACAAACAAAAAAAGAATACTAACTAACAAGCTCTTACCGCGTAACCGTAGTCCCTAGATCCTGGAAGATGCAAATAACTGTTGGGTTGTTCTTCCAAGAAATGGAAGTTTTATATAGGGAGAAAGGGAAGTGTTGTATGTATATGCAATGAATTATGTATGTACGACGTGATTGTGGAGTCGAGCAATAATTGCAAAAGCGGCCGCTAAAAACTTGAATGCGTTTGCTCCTTTACCAAATTTTCTGCAAAGGCGGCAAGGGAGAGAGGTGGAAAAAGAGTGGCAGCGCCGGATGGAGCAGAGCAGACACCCTCTCAGAGGTTTTTAATTCTGGAGAGAGGAACAAAAGCTAAGGACTTATTTTATAGTGTTTGCCGGGTGTGATATATATATATATATATATATATATATATATATATATATATATATATATATAATTGTTTTATTTCTTGGGTTTGATAGGGGTTGCTGGATTTAAAGTGTTTGTTATGGTTTAGGACACGTGTTACTATTATCCGTAGTGTAACCCAACAATGTTTAGTATATTGGTTTAAAAGGTTCATCGTGAATTTTTTTTTTTTTTGCCTTTTAGGGATACGAACTTGTGTTTTACCGTTTTAAAATGTATCTTTACCCATTTTAGGAGGTAACCATGCATTGTCATCTCTCAACTAAGCTGCCTTGTCATCATTACTTTACTTTGACTTTGAATACTCGTTAGTCAAAGTCTCGATGAGAAGTCAAAATCGAACACATAAGTTCACTCGTTCTTACTCTATCCATCGATTTTCTTCTTCATCGTTCTCGCCACAACCCGATTAAAGCATACCTCGTAGTTTCCATCATCCGGAAGCTATGCTCTTTATTTTTATCTCAATTTCTATGTTTACGGTTTCCTCCCGCACAATCGCCACCAGCCCAGAAGGTCACGTTGCAATCGGAGGCGATTAAGCAAATGATCGTCGAGGGAGAGTTCTCCAGTCAGATCGAATTGTCTTTCCCTAATATAACTGTTGAGATCATGGCTAAGGTCTTCGAGTATTGTAACAAACACGTGTATTACGACGATGCCAGAAATAATATCACCGTCTTGGAGGAGATGAGAGTGTTTGATACAGAGTTCGTGAATGTTCTTACAATCCACAATTTCCATAAACCCCCAAAATACCCATCATCCATCCATCCATGTAGCCTGTACCTAGATACAATTTGTAGTTTTCGTTTTCGTTTTCGCCATCCAAAACGCAGAGTGAAATATATGAAATCGTTGTTTGGGAGTGCTTATTTGTTGTTGCTTCTCTTGTTGTCATGGCGCTTGCTTCTTGCTTCTCTACCGCTACTTCCTTCTGGTCTCAACCCTCTCTCTCTCTCATACACATACACACTCACAAATTTATTGATATGTTATTCTTAATTGGAGTATAATCATGTTCGAAGTTTGAGCGTTCGATCTTGTTTTTATTGTTTCTGTATCAAATTGGGATTTTAATCTTGGTTTGTAGTTGTGCTAATATATGTAGTTGGATAATTTTCCTGAAAACATCAGAAATAGTGAGGTTCAGTAATGATACGACTTAAGTGTTTAGTGATTATATTAATTTAAGTGTGGTGGATTGTTGGTTGATGTATAGGACCTTGTTCACCTATAGTAGAAAGCAATCAAATAGAGAAATTCATCAACAACTGATTTTAGCATTATATATGTATCTACCGTCTAATTGATTTGTGTACATTGATCCTTTTAACTCAAAATGTACATGCCAGATAGCAATGTTTGCTTGTATGTATCTGTCTAAAAGCTCTAACTTTTAAGTTCATCTTTATCAATTTCAGTTATCTAATTGCAGCAATGTGACTACAAGTGGTATGACATTTCTAAATTCTCGGTGGTGGGATTTTGGTGGGGAGAGGGCAATGCTATCATTGTAAAAGGATATTGAGTATGAGTTTGCAGTTAGATTTTTCCCAGTTTTTTTTATTCCAGTTCTTTTTTTCCCCCTATTTTCTGTGTGCTCTGTTTTTTCTGCACAATTTTCTTTCTGTGTTTTTTTGCACCTGCACCTAAGTGACTAAAGGTTGTTGAAGGTAGAAACTAACAGTGTTCAGCGTCTTCCCCTCTAAATCAAAAAAATTTGGAAATCAAAGTCGAGTAGATCTAAGCATATCTGATCGGGACGAGTACTGTTCATCGTCTTCTACATGACGATTTCAATTGATTCAGATTCAACAATGCGTGTATGTGTGTGTGTGTGAAAGTGTGTATTTATCATGGTGTGTTGCCGGTTCAATTCCTCATGCGATGTCCATTGCTTGGTGTTTGCCAAACCAAAGATATTCATCATATTTCCTGCCACCATCACACTGGAAAATCCAGTCACCACTGCCACCCCCTTCTCTCTGTTTACACCCACCACCACATTATAAAATATCACCTACACTTTCCAGGATTCTGGTTTTGGAATTATAATGTAAGAGAAGTACATGGCGTTAATGACGAAGAAGAAACTTCATTGTTACTATTCGTAAGCCCTTTTAGGAAAAGCTCCATTTGTAACTGATGATTAGGTGGCATATGAAAGATGATGATTAGGATGGGGGTCACCGGGTGACCCCTTCAAATTTTCCATAATGACCTTTTAAAACCTAAAAACACAAGTTTATACCCTTCAAAGGCAAAAAAAATCACGATGAACCATTTAAACCAATATATTAAACCAAGGTTGTAAAAATCGTTCGGCGGTAGCTCGGCGGTCGACTGGGGTCAAACGATTAATCGGTTTGGCGGGGATTAATCGGAGGATAAATCGGGGACCATAAATTACTAATAAAACTATTTTAAAACTTAATATATCCAAAGAAAAAATAGTATTTGAAAATTTCAAAATTTTAAATTTTGAAATTTTGAAATATTTGGTATAATATTTGAAAATTTGAATATTTAAAAATTTAAAATTTTGAAGTTTTGTAAATTTTGGTGTAATATTTGAAAATTTGAAAATTTGAATTTTTTAAAATCTTCCCGCCAAGGACCGCCGAGGACCGCCAAGGGCCGCCAAGGACCACCGAGGACCGCCTAGCCCGAGTTTGACCGATGTTGACCAATTTCCGCCAAGCACCCCTAATCGTAATCAGTTGCAGACCGCCTAGCGCCTAGATTATTGTTATAGGCTTCTTTAAATTCTAAATTTTTTGTTTACAACACTGTATTAAACATTATTGGGCTACAATAACAATAACCCTTATAACAAACACGATAGATTATTGCTATAGGCTTCTTTAAATTATAAATTTTTTGTTACTATTGTTAAAATTAAAGTATCTAATATATTTTTATCAAATAACCCTACAAAAAAATTTGGATAACAGTTAAAATAAATTTATCCGTTAGCAATATTTGTTTCTGCTAAAATAGAATTTTGAAAATCTTTATGTATTTTATCTCTTAAAATTAGGAGAACTGGAACATCAATACTAATTCTAAATAAATGTTTAATAGCAATTTGTACTAAACCTATATGAATAAATTTATATTTTTTTTAAGCAAATACAAATCATACTAAGGTTCATATGCCTAAGAGGCTTAAATGGTCAGAAATTACTCAATAATGTAATTAGAATTTACAACACGTTATTGAACCAAAGGTTTTAGATTCTTCAAAACAAATTTCTAATATTATCGAACATAATGATGGATTAGTTGATGTAAAATTTTCTTCAATAAATTTTTTATCATCACTATTTTCAACAAATTCAATTACATAAGTTAGCACCTCAAAACCATCATTTTCAAAATAAAGATCTTTAAAACTAAAAATTGTTGATTATACTAATTCTATTCCTAAACCGCTTTATCAAGATGAACAAAATATTGAAACTAGTTTACATAGTCTCACTAAATCTGATTTTATATATGAACTTCAAAATTTTAAACAACAAATATGAGTAATAAAACTCAAATATATTTTAATTATGATAACAATTATAATACTAATTTACTTTAAAAAAAATTTGGCAAGACTTAAGCACTTCAACAAAACACTTAAAAGAAATGGAATTAGAAGTATAAGAAGTAATATCTAAGGGTCAAAATTGTACTGCAATTCAATTAGTCAAAATAGAAAAACTAAAAATTGAAATTGGTCATTTTAAAACAGTCATAAAAAGTATCAATTGCTCAATTAACCACATTTCAGATAATTTATTAATTTTTTAAATGAGTTCTAAAATACCGATTAATTGTTCTAAAAATAATAGGCTTTGGATTCACATAATAAAAAGATATTGAAAACCAAACCCTAACATGTGTAAAAATATTCAACATTTAAAAGATTTAAGATATTATGAAAAATATTATTTATTAAAACTACAAACCAATAGTCATACGTATAATAAACAAATAGAAAAAATTTCTCGATTAACTAAAATGATCAAGATATACAAACAGTTAAAAAAGTATGGCTTTGGATTAACATAATAATAAGACAATGGAAAATGAACTCTTATATGTGTAAAAATATTCTGATTCAAGATCTCATGAAAAATACTATTTATTAAAACTACAAACCAATAGCCATAAATATAATAAACAAATAGAAAAATTTTCCGATTAACTAAAATGATCAAGATATACAAACAGTCAATAAATCATAATTTAGAATCAATAAATCATGTTTCCTCAATACTAACCAAAACAACTTGATAATATGAGTTTCTCGAAAAAAGAATATCACGTTGATTTTAATTACTTAAAATATATTGCATATTATAAAGAATATAATGATAAGAAAAGAGCTTGATATAACAAAAAAATCATATTAGTTAAGATTTCTACATTTAGGACTCTGGAAAGATTATGTTTTATCAAACAAAATTCATTCTCTATTTTTTCAATGGTTTGAATTATTTTATGCTCCTAAACATAATATTGATTATTCATTCAAAAATGACTATATTACTCCTATTTTCAATAAAAAAAAATATATAGACATTGACTCTAATAACGAAATTATATCGAATATCCACCAAAAAAAAAAAGAATTATTATTGATAAATATATTTTGGCAACTCCTCTTGTAAATGTTCCAAATCAACAAACAACTGAAAAAAAATTGTAAAATATTATTTATCAAAACAATTACTCAAATGAAGTTTTAACAGTTATTGAAGAACAATTAGATAGAGTAAAAGAAAAAGTTTCGAAAGAAAAACCTATACAAAATATTTTAACAAATTTAGAAATAGAGACAACAAAAATAAATAAAACGTTAAAAATTATGGAATTACAATTATTCAAAAGAAATGAGAAAAAGGAAGAGATATGTTTTAATAATAAAAAAGAAGAAGCAATCTCTAGTAATTATTCAAATATTATTTTTGTTCCCTATCAAATTGAAGGAAATATTAATTTAGGAAATAAAGATCTAATTGACGAATTAGAAAAAAAAAGACTTTCAAAGCTAAATATTAAAAATATTAATACTCTTAAACAAATAACAACTAATTAATCTGAAGAAATTGATAGTGATATTGAAATTGATAGTAATACTCTTGCTCAACAATTTACAAATGATCAAGATATTAATCAACTTACCAACAACTTTTCTAAATTAAATAAAATTAATCAATCTGAACGGAACACATTTGGAAGAAATCAAAAACCAACACTTCGAAATTATTGGAACATACATGTTCTTCCTTATGTTCAAATTGAAGAAAGAGCATTCTAGTATGATCGTTTTGCCTATGATGGAACTTATGTTTACGAATGGAATATCGATGGTTGCTCTGAATATCAAATAGTGAATATTGTTCAAGAAATAACTATGGAAGCTAATGCTTACAAGTAAAAAGGTAATACTCAACTTGAAATTGTTAATATCGTACATTATGGGTTCACTAGAACTCTTAAAGGTTGGTCAGATTTCTATGTTACACCAGAAGAAAAAACAGAAATTTTAACTGCTACTAAAACCATAGTAAAACAGGAAAATGGACAACCTATACAAACGTTAGATGAAGATATGGTGAATACATTAATTTTTTATATTATCAAAAATTTTGTTGGAGATCCTACAACGTTTCAAGAAAAAACATACGAAATACTAGTGAGTTTACATTGTAGAAAACTTACTGATTTTAGATGGTATAAAGATAATTATCTTGTTAAAGTCTTTTCAAGACCTGACTGCAAAGAAGCTTATTGGAAAGAACGCTTTATTGATGGTCTTCCAAACTTGTTTGCAGAAAGAATTAGACAAAAATTAAGAGAAAGCTTTAATAATCAAATTCCTTATCAAAATCTAACTTATGG